AAAAAAAAAAAAAGAAAGGAAAAGAAGGGGAAAAGATTGGTAAAATATCGTTGCCTATATATATATATATATATAGATATATATATATATTACGACAATTGTGTACATACGATGTCTAACGACTCGTTACAATAAAGAGATTATTTTGCGTATGTTATTTAATTCATTTCTCGAATATTTCATCAACGTCCAATCTGGTTTCTCGAACGGCCGAGATCCGATTCTATTAGAAACGAATTTGAAACGCTGCCATGGCTACGTGGTCGTCGAACAAAAGCAACATCTCGATCGTACTCGATCGAGGGAGCATATTCAAGCAGCACCAACGTCGTCCGATAAAGTATATATCTCATGATCAATCGTCAAAATATGAAAGTAGCTCGCACGCAATCCCATTCATAGAAAAAAACTGCGCTACGATGCCCGTTTCTTTGCGACACCATGATCGTACGACTCCATCTCAATTGTGCATACATCCTTGTTCTGTCCATACTTCTCCGATCCTTCGTTTCTCATTGCTTTCCAGAGGTTGTCAAAGACACGGCCAGGTATTTAGAAACGATAATTTAATTATACCTATTAACCCATCCCATCCCTCTCTCTCTCTCTCTCTCTCTCTCTCTCTCCTCTCGAGACCGATACGTTTCGAAATAAATTTTTCTCGAACGAGCTCTCTCTCTCTCTCTCTCTCGAACGAGCTCTCGTGCACGCAGAGAGAGAAAGAGAGAAAGAGATAACGAGCAATCCTTCCTTGGAAAATTATATTTTATCTTCGTGTTTCTCCCCCTCCCCTTCTCTCTCGAACGAGTTCTCGTGCACAGAGAGAGAGAGAGAGAGAGAGAGAGAGAATTTCAAATTCTCAAACGAATCGTCCCCTTACAATGAGTAATCCTTCCTTGGTAAATTATATTTCCTTCCTGTTCTTTTCCTCCTTCTTTCTCTCTCTTTCTCTTTATCGAACGAGCACACAAAGAGAGAGAGAGAGAGAAAGAGAAAAGAGAAAGAATTTCAAATTCTCGAATCGTTCCTTTACAACGAGTAATCCTTCCTTGGAAAATTATATTTCGTGTTCTTTCCCTCTCTCTCGTGTACAGAGAGAGAGAGAGAGAGAGAGAGAGAATATCAAATTCTCAAACGAATCGTCCCCTTATAACAATTCTTTCTTGAAAAATTATATTTCTTTCGTGTTTCTTCCCCTCTCCCTCTCTTTTTTTCTCTCTCTCTCGAACGAGCTCTCTCTCGTGCACACAAAGAGAAAGAGAAAGAGAAAAGAGAAAGAATTTCAAATTCTCGAATCGTTCCCTTACAATGAGTAATCCTTCTTTGGAAAATTATATTTCCTTCGTGTTTCTTCCCCTCTCCCCCTCTCTCTCTCGTGCACATAAAGAGAGGGAGAGAAGGAGAAAATTTCAAATTCTCAAACGAATCGTCCCCTTACAACGAGTAATCCTTCCTTGGTAAACTATATTTCGTGTTCTTTCCCTCTCTCTCGTGCACACAAAGAGACAGAGAGAGAGAAAGAGAAAAGAGACGAGATAACGAGTAATCCTTTCTTGGAAAACTAATTTCCTTCGTATTCTTTCCCCCTTCTCCTCTCTCTCTCTCTCTCTTTCGTGCACACAAAAGAGAAAGAATTTTAAATTCTCAAACGAATCGTTCTTACAACGAGTAATCCTTCCTTGGAAAATTATATAAATTATATAAATTATAAAAATTATATAAATATTTCCTTCGTGTTTCTTTCTCTCCCCCTTTCTCTCTCTCTCTCTCTCTCTTTCGAATGAGTTCTCGTGCACAAAGAGGGAGAGAAGGAGAAAATTTCAAATTCTCAAACGAATCGTCCCCTTACAACGAGTAATCCTTCCTTGGTAAACTATATTTCGTGTTCTTTCCCTCTCTCTCGTGCACACAAAGAGAGAAAGAAAGAGAAAAGAGATAACGAGTAATCCTTGCTTGGAAAACTACATTTCCTTCGTGTTATTCGCCCCATTCCCAGTAACGCGGACGCCGGCGGCTACGCGATCGAGGATCAAGGCAACAAGGTGGATCCATCGATAGAGCGGATCTTCCGTGGATCCGGCGTGGAACGTAGAAACTACGCGACCAACTCGAAGCGGAACATCGAGGCGGTCTCGGACAAGACGACGATCCGTACCGAGGACACGAGGAAGCGTCCCCGGATAAAGCGGGGGGAGGAGGTGGTGGTTAAGAGGGGGGCTTCGAACGAAGGGGCGAAAATCGAGGAGAAGCGTTCCGCTTCGAGCAAAGGGGCTGGGAAAGGAGCTGGCTCGAGAATAGGCCGCTCATCCTCGTCCAGGGACCTGCCCAAACTTCCGGTCAAGGATTACGAGGTCCCCCTCGAGCAGGAGAGATCGTCCGTGTACGGGGACGAGGCGGAGGAGGAGGTGGCCGGCTTTGGGGCGAGGAACAAGGAGGCGAGGTACAGGGGAGGGGGGGAGTACGGGGCGGGCGAGGATTCGGCGAGATTCATCGATCAGGAGGAGAGATCCAGCCTTTACGATGACTTCGAGGCGAAGGACGTGGTGAAGAGGGGTATATCCGGGGCGGAGGATTACGAGGAGATGGAGGAGGAGGGTGTGGAGGGGGGGATGGACGACGGGGCGGCCTTCGACGAGAGCTCGATCGACGAGGAGGTCGGGGGCGAGAAGAGAAAGTATCGGGGGGGGGACGTGAGGGTGAAGAGGGAGCACGAGGCTTCGAGCTCGGGGAACGGGGGAGGCGGAGGCGGAGGCGGAAGCAGCAGCAGCAGCAACAACAACAACAACAACAGCAACAACAAGGAGGCGATCGAGGGCGCGGATATCTCCGGGACGAAGATGAACGGGGAGAGCGGGGAGGCGGAGCGCGCGGCGGAGGCGTCGTCTTCGTCGGCCGTCGAACAGAAGCCGATGGACGCGTCCTTGAAGCGGGACGCGTCCGACAAGGGGGAGGCGAACAACAAGGGGGAGAGCAATCAGTTGGGGCAAGCGAAGGAGGGGAAGGAGTCGAGCCAGCAATCGAAGAGGAACGTGCTCGACAAGAACGAGAACGACGGGTCGTCCAAGTCCGGCTGCGACCGGGACACGGACAACGCGAAGAACGAGAAACCCCTCCTCTCCTCGATGAACGATCAGAAGGTGGAGATGGAGAGCGACGAGGGCGCGAAGCTTCTCCAGAATCAGGAGAGTCAAGAGGCGGTGGGGGGGGAGGCGGCTGGGGGGAAGACGCAGGAGATCAACCTGTCGAACAACGAGAACAAGCCGATCGGTAATTTGATCGGGGACTCGTTGGGCGTGAAGGGGGTGGACGCGTCGAAAACGGAGGAGTCGAAGATCGCCGATATAGGGAATCCGGAGACGTTGAAAGGTGGGGATATTCCCGCGAACGTGCCGGAAACGGCGGCCGTGGAGAACGCGAACGAGAAGTCGGAGTCGTCCCAGAAGGGGAGCGAGAGCGGGTCGGCCGAGCAGGTGGACGAGGATTACCAGAAACGCGTGGAGGAGCAGATCCAGAGGAAGATAGACTCGATCAAGGAGGAGATAAAGAGGGAGATAACGGAGAATCAGCGTATCAGGGAGATAGAGGAGAACAACGCCAAGTTCGAGGAGTTGAGGGACGAGGAGGAGGAGGAGGAGGACGAGGAGGAGGACGATCAGGAGAACGAGGCGACGATCGACAAACGCGACACCGTGTCGAAGAGGTCGCCGGAAAATTCTGGGGACAAGTCTCAGATACGCGAGGAGAAACGTTTCGCGATGGTGAGGCGAAAGAAGAGGCAGGGCGAGAACGGAGGCGGGAACGGCAACAACAACAACAACAACAGCAATCAGGACAAGCAGGACGCGAACGAGTCGAGTTCGAGCAAGAAGACTCGGCAAGCGGCGACGATGAAGAAACGATCGGCGGCTAAACTGGAAGCGCAAGACCCGGAAAAGATACCGAGGAAACGCGAGCGGCCACGCGAGGTGATATTGGTCGAAAGACCGGATCGGAAAAAAAAGAGGAGACGAAGGGCTAAGAACACGGAACAACGTGGCGCAAAGCTGGAGGGTAATCAACCAGCTGACTTTGTGCAGGACTCGAGCTTGCGCGGGAACCTCGGTGATGGAAAGGTGAAAGGGGGAAATTAATCTGGTATTGCGGATGCTATTATTACGCTACTACGAGTGTCATTAAACGAATGGTTCCGAATTGGCAGTCGAGCGTGGATTCGAAGATGACGGAAGATGAGAAAGCGGTCGCGGAACGGAATTCCCTGTCTGAAAAGAAATCCGGTTCCGTGGCGTCGTTCGCAGGGAGTAACGAGGAGATGGGCCCATTGGCGACCGAATACGGAGATGCGTTCGGCGGTTTCAACAATGATCCTGGGGTGGCGCTAGCTAGATTTAAACGAATCAAACGAGTTCTTCGCCCTCCGGTTTCCAACCCCTAGTTTCCCAACATTCGTACACGAAATTTCGCGCTCAATCGCGTTTCACAATCCTACGATCGGTCCGTGTCGTGACACCGTTACTTAATCTATATATATATATATATCTTCTATATACGTATATATTATAGAAGATAGAGAGAAATATATTAGTAAGCAACACGTAGATTAATTAGCCGTAGATCTGTTCGAAACAACGTAAAGTAGGAATGCGGATATCCGACATTAACAGTTCCCTTACCGATTCCCTTAAGATTCGAAAGCGATAATCGTTGGTATCGCGTAATCGCAATAATAACGGTCTCGTCGGTAACGTCGTGGCCAATGTTCGATTGTTATACGTAAAAGTCGTACGTCCTTGAAACGGAAATGTACGCCGCGCGGCGCCTCTTTCGCGAGTATACTCTCGAATCTCTTTCACTTATTATTCGCGTCTTTTATTGTCTTTAATCTATCCCGATCACGTATTTAAAGCGATTCGACGCTATTTCGACTTTCGTTGCAACTTATGTTAAACAATAAAAAAAAAAAAGTACTTTAAGACAAACGACGAGATACGATGAGAGATGTATTAATAAAATATAAATTTATATACGAAAATTATTATCTAAAAAGAAGAAAAAGAACGAATAGATATATTTTCTGGATTACCTGCTGGATGGATCCATGCCTCGTCGTTTCGATGCTTGGTCGAGTGGCGCCTCTAAAGGGAGGGGGAGAGAGAGAGAGAGAGAGAGAGAGAGAGAGAAAGACGGGTAGATCCAGAGGCAAATACACAGATAAAAACATTCGTAAGACGTTCAAGATTTAATAACAAAGATACGATTAAACACGAAGAAGACACATAGATCGTTAACCCTCTGTTTTGTGCGCTTACATTACGGGGGAGACTTTGACTTTTTTTTTTCTCTTTTTCTTTTAAATTTACTCTCGGCAAACGAGTACTCGTCTCCTCGCTTGTACCATCCATCTCTCCTTATCACCGTTCTACTTTACAACAATATGAAACAATTATTTACACATCGACGGGCAGAAGGATCACGGTGTTGCGTGAGAAATGATTGAAATGTGTTCCTCTCTCGTATATATTTCTTTTCCTTTCTTTTTCTTTTTCCCCTCCCCCCTTCTTTTATTCCTATTTCTCTTTCGTTTCGTTACGCGCATCGACGTCCGCCATTTTACGCCAGGATACGCACAGCTACGTCGAACCAGCTTCAAGTCGAAAGTAGCGTAGCTGGAATCTATCGAGAATCGAACTTTCGCCACAAAAACTTCTCGTCGCTCGCGAGAATTCAATCTCGATACATCGATAGTTCGCGCCAACGATTTTCTCCAACGATCTTTTTACGATTCGTCTCGATCGAAATTCTTTTCTTCAATTCGTTTCTTCGGTATTTAAACGGTTGTTGCGATCACTTTTGAGAATCGTTCGCGCGAATTCGCAGCGAGAAAAGGCTCGTCCTTTGCCGCGTCTCCGGTTACACGACTGACTTTGTAGACTTTTTGCTCGTGCGAGATCGTGTACAGGTGATTTAGATAGACGAACGTCAGTCAGTCCGGCAAGAAGGCTGCTGATTGGTTGGAAACGTTACAGGCACGATCGTTACAAAAAGAATCGCCACGCCTCCGTCCTGTCCTTTCTCGATAATCTGTTTTCGTCGCAGAAAACGCATCGTTGTTGGACAACAATTGGATAAACCTCGAGCCAGGAATTGACGTAGGTATGTACATTTATTTTTTTTTCCTTTCTTTCTTCCTTTCTTTCTTTCTTTCCAAAAGGGTCCTGGAAGGTCGATGTGATCGATTTCTAATAATAATAATAATTTTTTTTCTTTTTCTTTTGTGAAACGAAAGTCGAGTAAGGACGAAACGAGCGCGATGGTTGGAAAATTCGAAAATTCGTCGAAAGCGGTGTATAACCGTGGCCGTTAACGAAGTCGACGCAGGTCAAAATCGAGGGACGAGGCGAAAAAGCCGCGACTAATCGTAAAAAATGAGAAACCGGATCGTTCGGTGCGGTGAATGTTTTCTTTCTTTTTTTCTTTCTTTTTTTCCCCCCTTTTTGTTTCGCTTTGTTCCGACGGATACTCTGCTTTAGTGCATATCGAGATAGAGACTTTCTTTTTATTTAAAAAAATCGATGTCTGAGAAATGGTGTTCACAATAATATGGTACAACAACGTAACGTATTACAGGTTTAAATATGTATATATATATATATATATATATATGTATGCGTAATATTTATAATAATATAGATAATTTTCTTTACCACGATAACATGGCTATATACAAATATTACAATGTTTCCCCCCTCCCCTTCCTTCTTTCCATTCCTTCGAATCTTGGCGCACTTTCGATGCAACGATCGAGACTTCTCTCTCATTTTTCCACACTTCATCCAACAATTTCGACAAATATTCGTATTTGAAATTGGCGTACTTGTCACGCGGAGATCGTACAAGAGAGACCGTCCAATCCATCCTTCTTCTTTCAGCATGGGAAAAGCGTGCGTGTGTATACGTATGTGTATGAGAGAGAGAGAGAGAGAGAGCGAGAGAGAGCAAGGAGTACGTGATTACTTTTTGTATGTGTATGTCTGTTCACGCATGCGCGTTGAAACTGAATAAGACGAGACGAAAGAAAGGATACTTGAAATTTTACGTAGAACGGAAATGGATTCCGAACATAGTCGAGCGATTAATTTCCTCGTTTCTTCAACCTCCCCGAAATCGAAATTCAATCGCCGTGCATGAAGTAGATTCGTAAATTGTAAAAATTCTCAATGGAACAAGTCTCGTCGATCAAAAAATTTTCCAAATTTTCGACATCGAGGAGAATCTTTCGTATGTATATATATATATATATATTTTCGACACAATTTTTGATAAACGCGAAAAAAAAAGTATTCCATCACATTTTTACCGATTTTACTTTAAGTACACTACAAATTTTACTTGCGAATATTTCGAAGAGACGGAACCGAAAATTGAAAATGAGAATTCGAATCGAATTCAATTTCTCAATTCGCGATCGTTGGGGAGAATTATTTCGCTCGCTCGATGAAGATCGATTCTCGCTTAATCTATGCGTGACGGAGCGACGAATGTTGTACGCGCTTTGGCACCGTCTCGCCTCGGTCGGAGAGGCGAGACTTTCTCGTGGGAATGGGCGAACGAATCGGAGGGAAAGTTTTCCTTTTTTTTCTTTTTTTCTTTTTTTTCTTTTCTCCGCTCTCGTCACGCATTGTGTAAAAATACGAGCGATCCTTCGTGTATCCTTCGATCGCGTTCTCTCCGCGTTGTGGGGCAGACATCCGTTGGCAAGCGATCCCTTGCGAGATTCGCGTGATTTCGAGCTCCTTCGATCCAAATTCTGCGTAATTCTGGTACACAATTGTATATTACGCGCGAAGGTGACGAGAAAAATTCATCGAGATCGAAGGATAAACTGGCGAAGGATGTTAAGAGTTAAGAGTTTTATATATATAAGATTCTCTTTAAATATCGATTTGATCGATGCGATTAGTCAGTTTCCTGATCAACGATATCGAATGTGCTTAGGCACGGTAACAGGCAGTACACTCGGTGCATTATTAAGAGAGTATATGTTAAATAGCACATAGGGGAGAGACAGGGAAGTGTGGAAACAAGGGAGCATGATTAAAAAAAAATTATAGGATAGATTGAATTTTTGGGCATCGATATCTCTCCCTATTTCGTCCTTTCGGGATTATTTACAAATGGACAAAAGTTTCTCTTTTTAAAAGTAATTATTTTTTCTTTTTTTTTTCGCGAGCGAAATTCGTACGGGTGGAGAAAAATGTTAACAGAGTCGAATAATTCTGTCAGCACCTTCGAACAGTATATGCAGTGGCCCGAAGTCTTTTTTCGCATGGACACGCGATTTTTTTTTTTCGATCGGCTTTTTCGCATTCGCGGTCGAATGGCGCTCGAAAAAAGTGTCGACCACCACTACGTACGTGTATACTCTGATATAATACAGATATAAGCGTCATTTCCTCTCTTTTCTTTTCCCTTCTCAGTTATTACATTATATATAATATATATATATATACTTTAATCGAATTATGTCTAACGCGACAAACGCGGTGGCCGATTAATTTATGTGTACAAAGTAATTGCGCGCGTTACTTTCAAAAAACAATTGACGAGAGTAGACTTTCTTCCCATCTTTCCCCCCTCCCCCCTCCTGCTCTTGTTTCAACGTCTTCTGTGCAACGCGAGGCGGAACGCGATATACGAATAACGGAAAAGAATATCATCCGAGTTGAACATCGCATACGTTCGAATTTGTGTATATTTGCAACGATTCGATTAGACTCGATCGGTAAAAATCTAGAGAGAGAGAGAGATATTCGTATAGGAGGAAGGAAATTCGAGATGTATGGCGAATTAAGTAACGGTGAGAACGAAAAGGAAGGGATTAAAGAGCGAAGAGAATTTCTTTTTCTTTCAAATGCTTGGTACGAGATACTGCCGAAAGATGTCTCCCTCCTCTCTCGTGTCTATTAACTCTTTATGCGTTTAAAACGCTTTAAACGCTGCTCCCCGAAACGGTAGGAGCGTAACCAACCCACGTATGTATTTTTCCATAATAGTTTCTTATTATTTTATTTTATTTTATTTTATCATTTTTTTTTCGTTTTTTTTCTTTTTCTTATCATTTTTTTTTTTTCTTTCTTTCCGCTAAACGGTTAATTTCACCTAAACAGTAGTTTCTTCTTTCCTTTTGCCTTACTAGGATCGTATATGACAAAAGCATGTATAAATCAGTAGACATTTTGTTTTGTGCTTCTTAGAGATCATACATGATACAATGTACAAAGTAGTATAAAATAAAAAAAGGGTTAATAAAGATTTGTATTTACTTAATCCTCAATTAACGGTTTATCACGAACGGGACATAGGCGTCGCTTGCTCGATTCCAACGCGAACACGTTTTCTTCGCCGTGATATCGTAACATTCTCTTCAACCATCAATCTCGCGATCATCTAACATAACGTGTCTAACATTTCGTTTGATTCGATTGATCCCCGAGATATACAACTTTTCTTTTCTCCCCAAATTATAGACAACTGTAATCTGCCTCTTTTATTCCTTTCTTTCCTTCGAATTCGTATATCTCCAATGACAGTTGTATGTAGAGAAACGACTTCCCGTTGGAAGCGCATCGGCGACGAAGCGCAACGACTCGTCCCATTTGTCAAAGCGTCCCAAGGATAAATCGCGACACCATGCGACAGGATAAGAATTCGTATTTTCCTTTCCTTTCCTTTCCTTTTCTTTCTTTCTTTTTTTTTTTTTTTTCCCTACGATAATAATAGTCAGCGCATAATCTGAAAATTGATCTGAAAATTGTCTCGCCTTAAAGTCGGTCCCGCCTAAAATGGGCCTCGGCGCTTGGATCCGATATAACCATGGTCGGGTCGGTGAGCATTTGTAGACCGTCCATGTCGATCGGGTCGAGGCCCTGCCTCAGAGCGTCGTCCGACGGGAATATGTCCGGGTCGAAATCGCCCATCATCGCCGAGCCAAGATCCTTCACGAATTCCGGATTCGTAAGATCGTCCGCCCCGGAGAAATCTGCAAAAACCAGAGATTGGAAACTTCCCTCTCCCTTCCTCCTCCTCTTTCTCCTTCTTCGACGTACCTGTGAGGATGATCGTCGGTGTGTTGGGCGTCTGTGGGGTGAGCTGTTGGGCGGTGGTTGTGTTGTTGCTCGTCGCGGTCGTGGTAGACGCTGGCTGATACGGAACCTGGGGGCTCGTGCTGAAGTAACCCGCGTCCCCGCTCCCCAATTCACCGCCGACGTTTATCGTGTCGTTCTGCAAATCCGAATCTCGAATTATTTAAAATTTATTCATTCGCATTACTTTATACTGTAAATATAAATTAATTATTTCAAAAAAATTAATTTAACGTATATTTTTTTTAAACCTTTAAAAATTTATAAATCAACAAAATATTAAATAATAATATTTAAATATTAAAATTTTAAAAATAAACTTTTAATCTTTTCAATGTAAAAGGAATATTTTAATTAAATTAAAATCTTAAATCTAAAAACACTTTTACTATGTTACTTATTTCAACTTTAAAATGAAATTGATTTGTACACTTTTTAGAACTATTAATTTCAATTAAAGAAATTACAATAATTTACTTTTAAATTCTCTTTCAAATTTATATTAAAATAAATTATTCAAAAAAATTTAACTTATTGAAACTCATTAAATATACTATATTTTGATTTGAATTATTATTTTAAAAAATATTTTTAATCATAAATTTATTTAAATCATTTAAACAACAATACATAAACTTAAGTATCTCTTATCGTGGAATATCAAATTAATAAAATAAGTCTCTCTAATTAGATATAAAAAGCCGCCATATTATTTAATTATAATGATTCAACATTTAATTATTTAATACTTTCTTTCAATTTCTATAATAGGCTATCTAATCCTAGTTTTTTATTAAATTTTTCTATTTCCATATATAATTAAATTATAACTATTATTTATTAATTATAAATTTCACCTAAAATTAGAAAATTTAATTATAATGATATATTAATTTTAATTTAACCTTATTAAAATTAATCAATTTTTATAAATTAAGATTTATCTTCACTTCATTTAATTAACCGAATTAAACTTTCATTTCATCTCCTCCCTTTCCTTTCGACTAGTAAGTAAAAAATGAGAGAAAGAGGGGCTTACCTGCGCGTAACTCGTGGTGTGGTTCGGCGAACTGATGTACGTCCCGATCATGTTGGTCGGCACAGGGGTGTCCATCTGAAGAAGAGAGAAGAAGAGGAACGTGGGCAATGAATTCGAGTTTCAAACAGAGGATTCGGGATTCTAAGAGAGTTCGAATCGTTGCCGCGCGCTCTTCCAAGACGAGGATCGATAGAGAAGAGAGAAAGAGAGAGAGAGAGAGAGAGATAGAGAGATAGAAAGATAGAGAGAGATCGGACGATTCGCAATGGTGGATCGATCGCTTCGCGGAGTATTCCTTTCACGGTCGATCGGTTCGTAGGGTTGGCTCGGTCGTGGCAAAGCGGGAAGAAGGAGAACAGGGTGCGGCCAACGACGACGGCAAAGGGGGAGGGGAGGAAGAGCGCGGGGCGGAGCAAGAGAAAGCAAAAAGGGGAAGAAACGAGGAAACAAAAGGCGGATCGGATCGGGTGAACCGCTTTTATTCAACTACGAGGATTGGAATAAATATTATTCCTCGTGATGATTATTTATCGATCCTTTTAATTCTCAGAGACGAAAATTTCGAAGAATATTCTCTTCTTGGGAAGGGGAAAGGAATTTCTCGAATTTTTCCTTCTTTCATTTAATTCTCCGAAAAATTTGCTTCTTCTTCTTCTTCTTAAATTCGAAGGAACGAGAGAACTCGCGTCGAAACGAGGATCAAACAAAGGAATTTTTAATCGTCTTTTCTTTTTTTTTTTTNGAGAGAGAGAGAGAGAGAGAGAGAGAGAGAGAGAGAGAGAGAGAGAGAGAGAGAGAGGATCCTTGAATCCATGCTATCGCGGCGTTGAACGAGCTGAGAATATAACGAAGGCGTCTTACGTATCGAATGGAATCCCTTCGGCCCCAAGACGGCCAATTATCGCGCCAGCGATCGCGTTTCGGCCGCCAAATTGCGGAAGGAAGATGTGTCGTCGATAAAACCGCGATAGCCGTTGCAACGTGACCGCGAACGCATCGATCGATCGTCGGCTGATACGAAAAAAGAGAGAGAGAGAGAGAGAAAAAAGAAAAGGAGGAAAAGGAGAAGGTAAAACGCGCGCGAAGAAGGAAGAGAAGAGAAGAAAAGAAAGAAAGAGAGAGAGAAAGGATCGGGGGTTCGTGCGTAAATTTTTTTCTTTTTATTTATTTTTTCACCTCTATCTGCGTGCTCCAGGTGCAACCAAGTTCCATGAGCTGCTGCGCGAATTTCGGCCAATCCTGACGGATGCGGGCAACAGATAAACATCAAGGCTTAACATTTCAATCATCTGCATCTCGCAGGACTTGACAAGAATTGAAAGAAAAAAAAAGAGGAGAGAAGAGGAGAGAGAGAGAGAGAGAGAGAGAGAGAGAGAGAGAAAGGGTTGATGTTCCCCTGGTTAGCGAGGCCCGAGTCTCGTTTCACCCCTCCTGCAGGGGAGGAGACGGGTGCCGGTTCGAAATCCGTAAAGGAAGCGAGTCGAAAGAATGCACCCGCGGAATTGCTGCGTCTATCGATCGGGGGAGGAGAGGGGGACGCGATGAAAAACGACACTTGGCTACGAACGGGTACGAAAACATTCGGTTCGAAAACGAAAAGTTACGAAGAATGCATGCGGGAACCAAGTGGGGAAAAGCGTCTACTAAAAAAAGAGTGTCTCGTCGGGACGAGGGGAAAAAATAAATTCCGATGAATTCGACGAACGACGGCCAGGCGTCGTCCATCGAAGTGAGTCATCATCATTCAGATCCTTAATCGATAATCATGATGGATCACCGACCGATTCGGCTAACGACACGACGGGCTCATGGATTATTAACTCGCTATTATGATTCCCGTACCTTTTTAATCGACGGGATGCTTCTTAATAGGGCGGGCGAAAGGAGAAGCCATACCAAAAGCGAGAGTGGCGAATAATTGGCGGTGACACGTGCGCGTGGAATAATTCATGTCGCTTGACCTTGAAGGTCAGTCACCGAGGAGGAGGGGGAGGGGAGCAGCGACAGCGAAAATCCACGAGCCGCGCGATCCGCGGGGACGGGCTTTCGTGATCTTTGAACGAAAGGCAAAACGGGAGGGGGATGCAAGAGACAGCGCTGATAATAAATCTGATAAGCATCGATCGGAGAAGCGCTGAGAATATTTCGAGATATAATAATAATAAAAAAAAAAATCTAAAGATCGAAGATCGAGTTGCGAGTATCGTGCAAGTAATGTAATCGAATCATCCGTGGGAGGCGTATCTGAGGTAAATGAAGGAAACTGTTGTGTTCGAAAATCGTATATACACATGTATATATATACGTACCTAACGGCATCCGCAATTCTTACGCAAAGAGAGATCGTAACTGGTCGCGTACTTACCACTCCCTTCCGTATGCACAAACAGACAATTACGATCCGATTAAAACGCGTCGTGATACGTGACGAGAGAGTTGGAACGAATCGTTGGAAAATTTCGAACGGGGAAGGAAAGGGGATAATAACGAAATACTTTGGATTATTCTTCTCGAGGGTGTTGGAAGTTGGAAGATATTCGACTCGAGCGATTGGATTCTTCTTTTTTTCCCGTTCGATTGCTCGAATTCGAATTCGCGTTGGCTCGTTGCCAAGGGAAACTAGATAAGTCGAGATAACGAGAAACGGGCACGCGTTCTAACTACTAACCATCGTGAACTGCTCGAAATCCTGTTGAAGCGCCGCCGCTTGTGCCTGGTTCATAAAATAACTGTTTTGGTCGATGCTCTCCGACGTCAAGTTCGGTGGACCTGGATGACCCGTGGGGCTGGGAGGCGCCGATGGATTATTGCTGTAGCTCAACGGGCTCCCCTGCGATCGATCCCGAAAAAAAGAGTATCGGTCAAGGATTATTTTTATTTCACTTCCTCCCCCCTCCCATACGCGCTTACTTGAATCGTTAGCCCGGGCGACGACTGCGGCGACGGCCTGTTCACCTGCTGCGAGGACCTGTACGAGCCCAACGAGTTGAGCTGCGGTTGCTGCGTTTGCGTTGTCGACTTCTGCGAACAAAAGAAACGAATACATGTAACGTATATAAGAAATCGATCCTTTTCGTAAATTTTCAATATTTCGCGAATCGAAAGGATTTTTTTTCGAAAGAAGGACTCGAAATTAAAATCTCGAATAGGCAAAGTTTCAAAAGAAATGTATGACGCAACTAACTGGACTTTGCGGTGGCACAGGACTGTGCGGTTGTTGATAAATGTAGTGGTGGCCAGCCGGGCTGTGGGTGGTCGCCGTCGGTGGCTGGGCCATCGGTGGTTGTTGCGAGTAGCTCTGAAGATCCTGTTGCGAAGTACTTGTGCTGTTTTCCAACGCCACACCCTGTTCCACAGGCATCACCGTTATTAACGATCGCTCGGCTATCGTTTTTTCGCATCGTTCGCATCCCCGAGCCGGCAACACTGACTCGGCCGGCCGGCTCCGAAACATCGATCTCCGCGCCGATTCAAAGTCACGCGTTCCACCGCGATCGTCCGACATTTTTCTCTTTCCCTTCCTCGTTAACGAACTTTCTCTTTAACGGACGATTGATCGAACTCAAACGACTCCATTTTCCTCGTTAATCCTCGTTGCAACCAGATATCGGATTAATTTTATTACCTCCTCGAGTTTCGTATGGAATTTCAAAGTCGTGGGTGGACGTAAATAATTCGGGCGGACGTAAATAACGATTCGGTCCGGTTTCTCGAACCCTGTCGATTCGATCTTCGTTTGAATTCGTTCGAAAATTCGTCCGTTTTTTTTTTTTTTTTCTTCTTTTGGAAGAAAAGTATATATTCTATTTTTCTTTTTTTTTTTTTCTGACAAACGCTCTTCCATTTAACTTTTCACCATTGACACGAACGATGAATCGCGGTAACCCGTGACTTTTAAATCGCGACGAATTCTATTCGATTCTATCAGTTTGCAAGCACTATTATAATAAGCGTAACTAAATTAATATTAAGAGAAACAATTAATAGAGGGAGGGGGGAAAAAAAAGTCGTAATATCGCCAAGTTAAGCGCAAAAACAAAAAAAAAAAAAATTACCACTAACCTTACACGTGTGAAGAAACCTAGAGTTAACAGGCACTGATAAATGGTTCTGCAAAATAACAAACACAAACGAACACTACAACAAAGGCAAAATAAAAATAAAAAGTGAAATTAAAAAGAAGGTTGCCCCGCCAAGCGTAACAGGATGCTCGAGTTCGGGAGGCGATATTCATTTCTTCGAACGAATGGGATGGAAACAGGCTCGAGATTTCGTGGTGAGAAGTGGATACGATACGCGAATGTGAACGAAACGTGTTGTTCGGCCACGATTTCACCACGTTGGACAGAAATCGATATTCAGGCTAATCTGGATAACGATTGAGAAACCGTGGCCGAGATTGCTCCTCCATTCACGAGGAGGATAACAACACTTTTTCCAAATTTTAAATTCTCTCTTTTTATCTCCGTCGATGAAAAATCCGCGAATATATCGAATCCTCGACCGACCGATTTTGCTCGATTTTATTTATATTTATATCGTGACGTACTCGAAGTGATGGTTATCGAAGCGCAGAAAAGCACAGAAACATCTTTTCTTTTCTTTTTTTTTTTTTTTCCTTCTTCTTTTTCCATGCAACACTACGTTACTCTCCTTTTCTTACGAGCCAGCTACAGCTTTATGGAGAATTCTCTTGCACGATCAGACTGAAAAATTATCTAAAATTTCCATCCAAAAAAAAAAAAAAATCCATAAAAATGAATTGCACGGTGGGAAGAAAATTTTTTGAAATTTCACCAAACTTTAAATTTTTAAACTTTCGAACAAGAGCGATCGTGGAATAATCGTGCAAGATGGTCCAAGGCATCTTTCCATCGTTTTATCCAAATCTCTTACGAATCGTAAATCGTAAGGATAAAAGATGCCTCGATTCCATAAGACCGATCTCTAATCCTAGGCCGAGAACACCGTGCCTCCTCCTCCTCCTCCTCCTCCGTTTATTCTTCGAAAAAAAAAAATTGGAGACTCGAGGGAGACTCGAGAAAAGGCACGGTCGACTCGAGAGCAGTTCAGATGCAACAACACTCTCTAACAGCCCTAAGAGAAACTACCGTACGGGATAACGGGAGGATATTTACTTGGGCGCTGGTCTGATCCTGCGAAAAGGATAGCCTTCCAGCTTGGGGCAAGCTGGTTGGCGACAGGTTTGTGGGACTGCTCGTTTCACGGCTCTGGAATACACCAGCAGTGGGATCATTTCAATAAAACGGTTCCACGTTTCCCGTAGCCTCCCTCCTCCTCGTCGACGACTCGACGAGGAGGGGGAGATTCGGGGGTGACTTCGTCAGAAAGAATGAAAAGCGGAAGTAATATTTTCATTTCACAAGAATTTCTTAAATTTTTAAAACTCTCGAAGGAAACTCCCTGTCACGGAGATTTAGAAATATCTCGAACGAACGAATCTCGAACGTGAAAAACATCGAAACATTGTGATTGGGAGAAATAATTCGAACTGGATAGAAAGGGGGGGTTAAGATTAATAGGAGGGACTTACGTTGCTGAACGGCGTGCTGCTCGAGTGATCCTCTTGATCCGACTGGAAATGGGCCAGGTCGGGCAACGATCGCGTGTTCCCTATGGGAATTTGCTGCCCCGCTGGCTGAGAGCTCGGATCTATGCTGCAAGACAAACAACAATCTCCGATCTCCGTTCAGAGACGATGGGACGGGGAGGCGCCCGAGGAACGCCTTTCCAACCGTGTCAACGCTCCCCCAATATATTCTCCGACCGTTTCCCCGCGTGATAACGGCCGATAAAACGAGGAAAGAGCGGACGCGAAGTGAAAAGGGGAAAAGGGAAAAAGAAAAATCGACGAGACGCCCCGAAGGAGGGGTTTGAATCTGTTCAAAATTATTTGTATAGTGTCAACTTACTTATATAGCGTGCATCGGTATGTATCATGCAATGCGTCGCGAATACAATGGACATAAATAATGCATAGAGCGCAACAATAGATATACCATAGTGTACCATATGTATATATATATTATTATTGTATATATTTTATTATTATTGTATGTATATATTGTATCATATGTATATATATATAGTATCCTATATATATTATATTATATTAATATTATTTATATATATATTATATATTATTATTGTATGTATATATTGTATATATTGTATGTATATATTGTATCATATGTATATATATAGTACAATATATTATTATATATATAATATATATATTATATATTGTATATATATTAGAGTGTCCTATAAATTTCTTTTTTTTTTTGATACGAAATGAATATATTTGTTGTTTCCTTATTCCAAATCACCTGGCCATCCTTATTTTCCTTTTTCCAAAATAGTAAGATAGAGAGCAAGAGTAAAAATCAATAATACATATATCATAGTGTACCATATGTATATATATTAAGGTGTCCTATAAGTTTCTATTTTTTTTTTGATATTATATTATATATATTATTATATATATAATATATATATTATATATTATACCATATTGTACCATATGTATATATATATAGTACACTATATATATTATATTATATATATTATTATATATATAATATATATATTACATATATTGTATATATATTAGAGTGTCCTATAAGTTTCTTTTTTTTTTTGATACGAAATGAATATATTTGTTGTTTCCTTATTCCAAATCACCTGGCCATCCTTATTTCCCTTCTTACAAAATAGTAATATAGAGAGCAAGAGTAAGAGTCAACAATAGATATATCATAGTATACCATATGTATATATATATAATACACTATATATATATATTATATTATATATATTATTATTGTATGTATATATTGTACCATATGTATATATATATAGTACACTATATATATTATATTATATATATTATTATATATATAATATATATATTGTATATTGTATATATATTAGGATATTCTATAAGTTTCTTTTTTTTTTTTGATACGAAATAAATATATTTGTTGTTTCCTTATTCCAAATCACCTGGCCATCCTTATTTCCCTTTTTCCAAAATTGTTGGAGTTTATTTGTTCGAGGTGCTTTTTCATTTCGTTTATGGATTGGAGTGACGTTTATCGTTTGGAGAGAATTTTTTTTAATAAGAGGAACAATAATAGTTAATAAATAGAGAGTAATAGTCTGTGAAGTACAGAAGATGCGATAGCCTCGTGATGGCCTCGTCGGTTCGCCAATTTTGGCCGTTTTTCTGTTATGTTTCAATTTGTCGAGCCGATCGCAATATTTTCCAAAATTGATGGTTTCCATATTAAAAAAGGAGCTCATGGTGAGACTGAACCTTTCCAATCCCACCAAATGGATAAAAGAAGTTTGGGTGAAGTCCAAGTTTCGTGACAGTTGAAGATCTATTGTCCTTGAATGGAGTGCGTTCTGGATGCACATTTTCGTGCAAAATCCAAGTCTCATCGAGTGACGAATGTCTTTGAAAAAGGATCTCTTTCGTGTCGCTGGAAAAGGAAATGGCGCGTAGAGACGCGGTTCGCAAAATCGGTCTTCGTCAACAGCCGCGGAACCCAAACTTTGCGTCCATCGACATATCCCACCTCGGCCAGCTGATTATCTACCGTTTTCTGGAACTGTTGATGGCGTCTACTGTCTCTTGCACACCGTATCGCGGATTTTCAGCAAACATGGACTTGACAAAGTCCGTATTCGTCGTTGCTGGGCTGAGTCAAAATTGCCACCTCTAAATCCCTTAAATCAATTCCCGTAAACAGTACGAATCTCGTCTGCGGTGTCATTCATCACCTTTTCTAAAGCAATAAAGCATAACACGCCGCGAATGCTTCCTTTGGCTGTTCGTCATATCGAACGGTGCGGAATAAAGTTTTAAAAGACACCGTGTCACTGACCGAAAACGTACTTTAAAAGAGCTCTGGGACGACTGAAATCGACGCCACAAACGGTTAATAGATAAGCATGTTCATATAAAAATAACTAGTTAAAGTCATTTCTAACGTGGTAATAAAGAAACTTATGGGACACCCTATATATACATACATATATATATATATATATATATATATGTAACAGAGATCGGTGAAATTTCTTCTTCGATCGAGATGATCGAAATTAGAAGACGAAGAGAAGGAGAAGAAGAGTTACTCACTTGTTTCCAGGCACTCGGGGTATCTCGCAGGACGATCTCGGCCGTTCGATGAATCCGTAATGCAAGTTTCTGTTCTCGCTCCCGGATCCGCTTATGGTGTGTTGATCTACGCGAATGCGAAATATAATAAATATAAAATTAGTAGAAGAGGAAAAAAAAAAAAATACAAACGAGCACTTTTCCACGTTTTCACGGCCGTAATTCTCGCGTAATTACGAAATTACGTTATTTCGAAGAACGCGCGACGTTGTCGGATGCTATACCATCGCGTAGTATCATCAGCCAAGGCGGAGGTATACGATTTCGTCGGCGGCAACGTAACACCATTGTAACGCTAGTTGCTAATATTACGGGTATAACGTTTCGGTTCCGTTCGTTCCTCGTGCCGCCGGTTCGAAGGAGATCAAGAGGGAACGGTCGAAGCGGAACGCGTGTTACGAACCGGCCCGAATCCGGGAAAGGGCCGATGACTCCTCTCTCTTTTTCTCGAAAAAGAAAAATTCGTTTCGATTTCGAGAAACAGGATCTCTATTTAATTGTGCATATAAACAACGCGTTAATTTTTGCTGGAAAAGAAAGTCGTTGCGTTTGTTCCAATATCGAAATGTGAAAAGGAGAGAGCGGTTTGGACTTCGTTTCAAAAGTTTTCGTTTCTAGAAAAATAAATTTCTAAATACACTTCATTCGTTATTACAATTTTCTCACGTAATGCGTTCTTATTTCTTATTTAGTTTCAATATAAATTTTGAGATTTTAGTTTCTAGGTAGTAACAATTTACATGATACTTTCTTACTTTTATTATACTTTTGTAATTTATGAAATAGATTAGGATTATATTGTCTTATTATGATTTTAAAGTATATTTTTAAAAAATAAAGTATATTTTAGTAAGTAAAGTAAAGTATATTTTTTTTTTCTTTTAGAGCGATTCTGCGCTGAAAGTACCCCTAGTTAAAGGGTTGATAAAGTGATTTCGAGTTAGCTCGATATCTTATCTTGTCTTGGTAATCATCGGAATTCGAGGGGCCTTTCTCCGATCTCCCTCGTCGAAATTCACGAAATTCAGGAGCGAAGGAAGGAAACCTCGACTCGAGGTTTTTTAATTCCCGAAATAATACACACTTCCTCTCCCTGCACGTGCAAAGCGTTTACGCGAGTTGGATTTTTCCTCGAGCGAGACGGATCGCAGAAACGACTCGAAGACTGACTTAACGCCGCCTCCGAGAGATTACGTTCTAGCCTGTCCAATTTTATTTACACCCTCGTAAATCGAAGGAAGAAAAAGAGGGAAAAATGAAGGAAATCTCAACTCGAATATTCCGACCGGACGGTCGAATCGTCTCGTGAATCGCGAGCAATTTTCGAGGCGAGAATTGGAGAAAGGGGGCGAGTCGCAGGAAACATCGGATCGAATATCCGACAAATTGACCATTTGTCGCGCGTTGCCAGATGACGAGAGAGAGAGAGAGAGAGAGAGAGAGAGAGAGAGAGAGAGAGAGAGAGAGAGAGATTCTGCGACACACAGAATTCAATTGCGACCGGTTTTAACAAGCGGCCGCGCCTGATTGCCGCGCGCGTTTCCTTTCCCCCCCCCCCTCCCCTCTTTTTCCATCGAAAAGTATGCATCTCCTCCCCGGAGGAGAAAACGTATTTCCACGATCCATCGATCGAACGAATTTAAATCGACGGAGAAGGGGAGGGGTAAAAATCGGGGGGACGAGAGGAGATCCATTTAACGACTTAATTAGCGACGACGAGTCTTCGAACGATTTCGAAACATCGCAATCGCGTAATCAGTAATCGAGAAAGCAAGATAAGCATTTCGAGCTTTCAAACTTGTTGAAATCGTAGGGAAAAAAAAAAAACTTGTTGGAATAGTTGGGAGGAAGAGAATATTGGAAGACGCGTACCTCGCCGATGGGGGATGGTGGTGGTCGATTGGCAGGCTTCGTTGGCGCTCTGATGGAGGGCCGAATCCGAATTGGTTCTCCTCCACGTGTCCGGCGGCGGCGGCGACAGATACGGGACGCCGCTGTAAGGCGAGGTGTCGTGCCTCTTCTCCATGGGACGCGACCGCATCGGCCCGACGCCCATGCTCCTTCCCCTCTCGTTGTTGCGGTACGGCGGATCCTGGAAAAAAAACGTGGTAAAAATCATTTCGCTCGAGTCGACGAAATTTCGCACGCCGCCTTCTTCATTCCACTTCAACCGTTCGGGAGAAACGTTTATCGATCTTTATTCTCCCCGATCGGGCGAGATATCTCATTTTATTTCTCATTTTTCCCGTTCCGCGAATCCAACAAAAAAACGACGATCGACGAAAATGGGAATCTCGATTCCTCCCTGTCGGGAGCCTGGAAGGAGGTCGATTTTCAAGGATGGACGATGGAACCGACAACGGGCGAGAGTTGTTTGCATTCTTTCTCGAAATTCTCGTTTCGCTTCCTACGTGAAAGATGGAGAGAACGAGACACGAGACACGCGCCGAAATTCCTGAGAAATCGCGGCGATAACGAACTCACCTTCTATCGAGCCTCGAACTGTATACATAGAGGAGAGGAGGGGAGGGGAGGAAAAAATTTCGTGCTCGCCGCGTAAATTAACGAGCACGATCGTCGACAATAATAATAATAATAATAATAACAATAATAACAATAATAATATTAATAATAATGCAAGGACGAACGTGCGAACGTTGAACAATCGGTTGTCAATTTCCCTTGGTAACGTTTCGAAGGTGACGTAGTGGGGAGAAGAGGGGAGGGGTGGCGATCGCGAATTATTCGAAGATAGACGCGACAGGGTCTGCCGACAAGAATCGATGACGATACTATAATTAAAGTATCCTTCGATATTTCGCTGCGAGAGAGTAGATGCGTTCGTAGCCGCTCGATGTCAAGGCGTCTTCGACGGGAGACGGTACGGCAGATGGAGGGAGGGAGAGCGAGCGAGCGAACGAGAGAGAAAGAGAGAGAGAGAGAAAGAGGAGGTTTATAGCGCGACAAGATAAAAACGAAGCGCGACCGTGAACGTGTACGAGGAATCGCCGCGAGCGTCGCTTCTAAAGCTGTCCGCGGACGCTGAAACATGTTGCGATGCAGACACGATCGAGCGATGGGTTCGAGTCGATCAGAGAGACAGAGCTAACGTAACGCTCCACTCAAACGTATACGTAGCGATTAAATCGAATAAGATTTCTAAGATTTCAAATCCATCGCTCGATATCGCAACATCTTTCAACACGCTCGCTTTAATGCTTATATATATACGCGCCGACTCTAGCGATGGGTTTAAATTAACGCCTCGCGCGCAATATTGGAAGAGGTATATTGAAATTTCCTCGCGTGCCAATCACTCGAGCCAATGTCTCCAATGTTGCAAAATATCTCAACGGATCCACGGATCTTAAGGATACAGTCTATAAACGTTGAAAACGCAACGATTTGTGTCGTGCGATTTAACGGCGACAGAAGCGATAGTTTCAGTTTCGAGAGCGAACGATCGACTCGAACCCATCGCTACTGCATCGCAACATGTTCATAGGCTTCGTAGCTCCGGGCCGTTCTTTTTATTTTCCCCGAGTTGAAAATCGCGCTTTCAACTTTGCCCCTCTCCCCCTCCAAAAAGATTCACCTGACCCTAATTTAGAATTTAGATCGGGGATATATATATTCCCGAGAAACTCGGCTTCGTTATTTGGAACTTTGTACGCGATTGAATAACCGCGAGTCATCGGCCGGCTCGCGTGTGCGTCTTACGCCTTTCGATCGTAAATCTGTTCGTCGTTCACGTTCGCGAGTCGAGTCGAGTCGTGTCGCGTCGTGGGACAAGGTCGTTTCCTCTCCACGCTCGATCCCCTCCCCTACTCTCCTTTTCCTTCGCCGCGAAAATAAACGAATATCGGCGGAAAACGATCGAAACGATCGTTTCTCTCGGTGTGTATCTTCGTTACGAATGGATAACGTAATATACGCGGTAAATCATTAATTATAACACGAGCGAACGAACGAGGTGCAAGGTTCAAGGAGAGCCGCATTCCCCGAACGACAGAAACGCGAGCCTCCTATTTTATAAACGATGGGAGGATACGCGTGACACACGCACACGTCCGTCGAAAGAGAGGAATAAAAACGGGAAGGAAGAAGAAAAGAAGCGAGAGAAGGAGAAACGAAGAGAGGGGGGAGGAAGAAGAGAAGAAAGACCGTGGGGATACTCGTGATTAATTGGTGAAAAAACGTTGTCCAATTTGTCGGGCTCTCCGACTCCGATCAGACGCGCCGCGCCTTTCCAATTTTAGCGTAGCAAGAATTGTATGGCATAACGATATATTTTTAGTCGGTGGTACGTAGCGTACGTATAGATGATACGCGTGCTTTCTCGAGTGTCTTCCGTTGAGGGGAGAGCGTTGCGTCGTTTCAGGGGCCACCGCACGGTGTAAACACGCGCAGCACGGACAGGCGCCAGCCACGCCGAATTTCCACCGACACACGTGCTCGGGACAGTTATGCCTCCCCTCCCCCTCTCTCTCCCCTCTCCGCCGAGTATCGAGCCCAAACGCGAATGCGAAGCCGATCCTTTCCTTCCCTCTGCCCACGTACGTATTCGTACGTGTTTATTACGCATTCGACGACGGCGGCAGGAATTCGTGTCCGCGGAAGTTGTGTCTGGCCCGATCGATCGATCGAAGTGATCTCTTCGCTCGAGACCATTGCTCGTTACTATTTATAAAAAATATATATACCGAGTTTCACAGGTGGAACGCTTATTGTAAAAAAGAAAAAAGAAGGAAAAGAACGATAAGACGAAGGCGAGGCTACGCTTAGTAGTATTTATGACCGCGAGCGGAACGCCTCTTATCGGTGTGGCGCGAGTCGTTGAACTTGCATTAAAAACATCTGCCAACGATCGCTACGCGCGTGTGCACCTATCCAATCCCTTCGAAACGAATTTTTTTTTCTTCCACCGTGCGAGTTCTGGAAATAAGTTGGCGCAATAATCGAAACGAGCCCGCGGCGATTCTTAATGAAAGAATCGAGTTAGCGATTCCCCGAGACGCCGAAGGGAGATTAATAAACTGTCAACCAGTATGAACTGGTATGAACCGCGGGTTAAATCGGCTCATTCGATCGCCGCAATTAGCCACGATTAGATCTCTCTCTCTCTCTCTCTCTCTCTCTTTCCTTCGTTAAACGAAATTCGAATTTCTCTTCTGTATCGTCCCTTCGCACGCGTTCTCGACAGATTAGGATAGGAACGAATTTTTTGGAACGAGAGAGAGTGATCGGCGAGAGAATAACGGGTACGCTAAAAATAACAATTTCATCAGTTGCACGGGCGCGCAAGGAAGAAGAAACTGACCCGAGTGAATAGGTTGGAGAGAGGCGCACGCACGCAAGCAAGCAAGCACATACACGGGATTTCCTGCGAGGAAGAGAAGAAAAATCGAGCGCCGTCCCTGCTCGCCATGTGTCTCGCGCTCCGCTCCGCAGTTTCACACGGCTGGCTATTACCTAATAATTCCCGTTGAATTATAACAAACGCGTTTCTCCCACGGTGCTCGCGCGCGCCGAATATTCGTTCGATAAATTTCGAAGCGCCGTTCAACGTTTAACGTCCGTTTTCGAGGCGCTCGATCTCGCGTGATAATCCGTGAATTGTTTAGCGGCAACTACGATTGGACCACGTCCAAATAATACATATAACGAACTTCTGTTTTCCTTTCGAAAACCAACGGACGACTCAACGTCCTTAACTCAGCTTTGTGGAGACGAGAGGAGACTCATCTTTGTGATCGAAGAAATTAATAATCGGAACGAAGAGAAGAAGGAAAAAAACTTACTCGAACGATAATAGAAATCATCACGTTCGTTGTTAAAGCAAACAAGCGGTAAATATAAACGCCTACAAAACCGGATTTCTAGCCGGATTACGAGGATCTTACTAGTTTTAAAAGACGTTGGTTCGAGTGATTCATAGGGAACGATAAATATCGATGAATCGTACGACGAATTGTGCGACGGTATTCCTTCGGTCTCCTTTGCAAGGAAGGAGGAGGAGAAGGAGGAGAGGAAACGTTATAACTCTCGATGATCGAGTGGGAAATATTGGTGTGGGGAAATTTAACGGGAAGGTAGGCGTAATTTAATTATCGATAACACGAGGATGCATTTAGGTTTCAATTAGGAAATGCGAGCCCGCGCGTGCACGCACCGCCAGGCAGCGCGAGCTTGCAATTCCCGTTACGTTGAGCAGGGCTATGTATACCACCGTAAACAAGGTAAATTATCGAGGCACGTAGTACGTGGTAGATAAATTTCACCGCCCTTTCCTAGCAGCAACAACAACAACAACAACAACAACAACAACAACAACAATAACCATCCTCCCTCCTAAGCTTACTCCCTCGAATTCTCCACAGAGGGCGTTGATAATAATTCGAAACGGTATCGATTTTTCGGGACGGAAAGAAGGATCGGTTTCGATTTATTTCGGTTTTGGAATGGACGGAACGAGTGCAGCAGGAGGAGGAGGCGGTTTAATTTCTAATAGTAGCTCGCTTTCGCATCGTTTTGCATTCGCATCCCGGATTTCCGCGTCGGCCGATACGGAATATGGGTGACGTAATTCCATCGGGGATCGGTGGAATTACTTTACTGGCCGAGACTTATTTTCAGTGAGCGCGCGTACCGTACCGATACGATACCGAGTTTGAAGAGCGGGTACCTTTTCGTCCGCGGCAATCTCGCCTCGCAACGCCGAATTTGCATACGATAATATGCAAAGTGTATCGGTAACGCACGCATTCGCGGTGACGATGCAAGAATAATCTCGCTCGCGTCTCTCTTTTTTTTTTTTTCTTTTCTTTTCTTTTCACCTGCCTCGGTTCGGTTAAAGACAAATATTTCGAGTTGCACAGCTTCGATCGAAACGAAAGTCTCTTTTTTTACTTCGGTTCGAGGAAATCGTGCAACTCGATAAAAACTGTTTATTAGATTTAAAAAAAAACTGGCTTGTATAATCCAGTTTATATATGATTGATTCGTTTTTTTTTTTAATTCGTCGTCTTGGAAAATCTCGCGTGCGAGAAGAACGGAAGAAAGAGAGTGGAAACGCTCTTCCGTTCGAAGGCG